TTGGATTTTGTTCGTCGTTGTTACAGATGGGCAAGCTTGGTAGCAATCCATTGGCTGGGCTCGCGGCTCTTGGCCTCGGAGGCCTTGCCACACCTGCCAACACCGGTGGGTTAAATCCGGCAGGTAAGTCGACAATTTATTGTTACTTTTCTACTCTACACCGTGTACTATCTTTTATAGATAGAAAATTGCACGCTGCGCGCACAATATGAAAGAATATATGAAATATTTGGAAAATATTTGCCGCGTGAAAATGATTTCCTCTCGAGATTCTATTCTCTGTGTTATATTCTCAATAGTACTTGCAAAGTACGCAGTATACTTCGTAACACTATTATTTAGAGTCCATTGGAAGCAAAACTAATTCACTCTAGTCCCCGCTAGTTTCTTAATTTTATTTATTACCAGAAGATAATGTGAATAACATTGTGGAAAATTTCAAAGTTATTTCTTCACTTTTTCGCTTTACGAGTATGGCTTCTGAAAGTCTCAAATATGGCTGAAAATTGTAGTGTACTAACTCTAAATTTATTAGTATTTTTTTTTATATTTTTTACAGACCTGAGGTGTTGGAAAGTAATTTCCTTTCGTAATACTAATTGCTTGTTATAATACAGTTTCTTATTCGGAAAAAAAAGGTGAAAAAAGATTCAGAAATCGTCGCATAATGTTTAACTGCAGTATCTGTCTTTTAGAATTTCATTGCCTGTGATATATCTCAAACTAAGACAATTTAATGTAGCAATTCTGTTCCTTTTTATTGTAATTTTTTTGTCATCCTCAACATTAAAGATATTACTTATTTAATATCAAAATTGATCACACAATGTATTTTTACTTATAATCTCATATTTTCAAAAGAAAAATTTTAAAAAAGAATTATAATATAACATATGATTGATGTGATATAATACATCATACATGATTAATATGATATGTGTATGATAAAATTTTATTATGATACAGTGTGATTTAATTGTCACAATTATCTCATATTATATCATCCATAATTTATATCGAATATCTTTCTTCAACGTCGAAAAGTTGCAAACAAATCAAAAATTGCATTGTTTGCAAAATTTGTGAAATGCGTGCAATATGAAAAGATGCTTAAAAAAATACAATATTGAAATATTTGTCACGCATACATATTATATCTTTTGATTTGTTGACAAATCTTTTCGTAGACACAAAACGATTGAAAAATATTGGTTTCATTTAATGAAAGGTAGTAAAAAAGCAATTGAAAATCTATGTACAATTGTCGTGTGTACAGTTAATAAAAATTAATTCCACTTGTAGTTGTAATAATAAGAAAAATAATATTGTTGCATACTTTGACATACGAATGTATTTTGTAGTAATTTTATATTAAATTTTTCCTGATTTTATTTTTTTGAATTTATTTACATTTCTCTTTTAAAACAAATACAAGCAAGTGTTTTAAAAACTTTACAAGTGTTCTAAGAAATCATTCTTCAAATATTTGAAATTTCACAGGTGTGTGCAGACTTCTTCGAATTATGAAGAAACTGTAGGCTGCGAATTTTCATGCATTTGTAGAAATATACTTACACGATGCATAGAGTGTCAAAAGTTGGACAGAAATATCCAAAGAATGGAATATTTATTACAGTGTTTAACTGAATGAAACAAATTTCTACATTCAAGCCTCATACGTTTTTTTAGTTACATGGTCGCAAAAATGTAAAAACACAAAAATGCCTGAAACTTTGGGAGAAAAAAAATGAAAATGTAAAAATGCATAAAAATCTTCAGGCTATTTATAATATTTTCCACGTGTATCTAATATGGCAGTGATCTTTCGACAGCGTTGGCGGCACTCGCTGGTAGCCAGTTACGCACCAGCAACACGAACAGGCAACAACCAGCGGCGAACAATCAGACGCACGAGATGACCGTGCCAAACGAGCTGATCGGGTGCATCATCGGCAAGGGTGGCACCAAGATCGCCGAGATCCGTCAGATCTCCGGCGCTATGATCAGAATCAGCAACTGCGAGGAGAGGGAGGGTGGTGCCACAGATCGTACGATCACCATCACCGGAAATCCGGACGCTGTGGCATTGGCACAGTATCTCATCAGCATGAGGTGAGTACACGGTGGCAGAGGAGCATAGATATCACTGCAGTCTGTCCGACATCTTGAATAGAAAACGAAAGAAGAAGAAGAAGAAGAAGAAGAAGAAAAAGAATGGAGAACGTTGAACGTTTTTGTTAGCAGTGTAGATTTTTTTGAAAATTTTCTTCGAAAGAGGAGAGTGGAAATACACACAGTCCACTTGGTCAATCTATTAAGGATCATGTTTAATTAATTTCTTTTTTAATTCACTCAGAATGTTGCAGACTGTTTCTGGAAGCAAATCTCGAAGATTTGTTAAATAAGTTTTTCGTTTCTTTAACTTTGTTAAGTGAACTTCATTTTATGAATAATAGTGACATGATAATACTGATAGTACCAGTAATAGTATATACTACAATGTACTAAATAATACTATTTTATAATGATACTAGTAGCAGTACTATAAACACTGACAGTCTCTTTTATTTTAAATCACATATTATTTCTTGTGTATTAACAAGACAATTTTTAATCCTTAATGGATTAACTTTCAACGCCGATATCTGTTTCCTCGCAATTAACATCCGCAAAAGAAGTCCGGCATCACTCATAGAATATCAGAAATTCAAAATACATGCGTTCCGATATATCGTTCAACGTTCTCCTCCACCAAAAAAAAAAAAAAAAAAAAAATGGATTCATTTAATAATTTCTCTCTATTCACGAGAGAGGACATTGTTTAAAAATTCTTCCATTATCCCCCATCGGTACATGTCGAACTCGTCCCGGCTACGTATGGCGATATATTCGCGACACATCACCATTACCCTACGCCCGCCCCCCGCCCCCAACCACCCAAAGAGAACACCCTTAACTTTCTGGTTTTCTTCCCTTCTCCGGATCCAACGATGAAATGATCGTTGGATCGGATCTTGACTTATTATGTGTACATGTCGCCGATGTAGAATTTCTTTTCCCCGCTCGCGAGATTTCTCCCCGCCCTCTAACGCCCGCCCGAGAAAGACAAAAAAAGAGAGAGAGAGAGAAAAGAAGAAAAAAAAGTGAAACAAAAGAGAAGAAAC